CCCCCCCCCCCCCCTTTTTTTTTGAGGCAGATCATGATGATGAGTGACTGAATCTTTTCATAGAAGAATTCTGTAAACCATGAAGACTGGACCAGACCGGACCGTGTACCTCATTTGGTGTACCCTTCTATCTGCATTTATTTTATGTTCCCTCATGTTGCAGGAGCTAGGAGTTGTAATACATTTTGAAGAGTTTTGGAGGTGCTTTCAGGAAAACTAGTTTACTGCAGAGTTGAGTAATGTTTGCACTACCATTGAAGAACTTCCCAATCTACCATTATTATATAATTATTTTATTAATCGCAAGTTTTACCCGGCCCGGCCAAATAATGTTGAAGGCCTTGTGCAAGAATTTCAGATCCGAGAATGAAAAAGATAAGTGAAAGAAAACACAAAAGTATACGGAGCAATATAGTTAATTAGGAGTCACGGAAAAATCGGTCTTCGAATATGGAGAATAGAGTTTTCAAAATCGATGACTTCTTTCAAGAAATACTACGGAGTATAAAATTAGAAAAAATGATTGGAGTCCCAAATATTGGGCAGTTTGTATCCACTGGCGACACTAGTTCTTACGGTGCTCGATTTGTAAAATTCATAATTGTTACTCCTTCCATTTCAAATTATAATGTCTGTTCACTATTCATAGGATCAATTTCTTTCACTTTTTTTTTTCTATTTTTATTAGCAATTTGATACAATAAAGTATTATTGTCATTACTAGTTTTGAAGATCTTTTGATGCACTCCCTCCGTCTCTCTAAGATCTTCTCATTTTGACTTTTTGTGATTCTTAAAGAGAGTTGAAAAAATTACCATAATATCCTTAATGAAAATGGGTGGAGTGTATTAAACGAAGTATGTGAGGTGTTATAAATAAAGTAAGTGAGGTTAGTTATGATTTTTTAATTGTTAAAAAAATAATGAGAAGATCTAGGCGGGACACATAAAAAGGGCTAATGGGAAGATCTATGGGGAATAGAAGGAGTAGTATTTTAATATGTAATTTTTATTTTTAACTTTATAACATTTATCATGTAAAATGATTTGAAAATAATTTTAATCAAATATCGTAAGTTTGAACAATTTATGAGCTTCTTCGAGGGTTCCAACTTTCATTCTTATTTAAATGACATCATTAAACAAATGTTTTAGCATATAGAATCCTTTATATATACAAAAAATAAAACTAAAATCCGAAAATCGGAACAAAATCGAAATCACCGACTTTGGAACTGGCACCATCACCACTGGGAACCGGTCATGGGGGGTGGGTGCTTTTCCTTGCAGTACCGGAACCGCCCGTTCCAGAACCACAATGAGACGGGAACCAGATGATCAAGGAATCAAGGTCACGTTTTCTTCAACTTATTTTTAGTACTTTTTCTTTTTGGAATCAGTTCAGTTTATATTAGTGAAATAATTTTAAATGTAACTATATACAGATTAGATCAGATTAGACCATATCAAATCAAATAAGATCAAATCAGAACAATTTTTTTCAATGAGATCATAATCATTCAAATTAGGTGAAAAGAGCATGAAACAAAAGTAATAAAAACATGTGAAATCACCCAAAATAGGAGTAAAACATAGACAAATACCAAAATAGAAATTCCATATTTTTATTTCCTAAATATTACTTGGTCCGTCCCCCAGTGTTTGGCCACTTTTGACTTTTGGAACTGTTCATCTAAGCACTTTGACTCATCAAATTCTCTCAATGTCTAAGCCTAAAAATAGTCATGTGTGATCTTGTTTGATTCGTCTTAACATATAGATTATTAATATATAATTTTTATAATTTTTTAATATATAAATTACAAGATAAAATGGATTAAAGAAGTGCATTGGATGGTGTGCAAAAATGAAAATGGACAAATACTCAGGGACTTTCGGAGTAGTTTGCACTGTGGTAATGTAGCTCTGTATATGTATATTTTACTTTACATTTTTATACTCCCTCCGTCCTAAAACTTTCTTCCCGATTCGCAAAACGAAGAAAAATCCCAAGTTTTTTCAATCTATTTTATTTAAATATTGGTATAGAAATAAAAAATAAAACATGCATATTTAAAAACTACATCAAAAGTTTAACAAAACAAGTGGTGACAAGAATATTTTATTTTATCATTTAGGCCATGAAAAAACACAAATAAATATAAATTCCCGTGAAGTTGGAATAATGCTCTGGGATGAAAGTTTTAGGATGGAGGGAGTAATGTACATGATCATGATTGGATATGTAAATACATTTTAATTAATATTCTAGAAATAAAAAGATAGAACTCATATTTTATTACCAGTATATTTTTAATGTTTAATCTCACTTCAATTTTTTAACCAAAAATGCATAACCTGTGCTTCCATTCCAGTCGTTATCATTTGGACTGTAGATCCGGAGTGTTTTTTAAGGTATTTGGGGACAAATATGGAGCAGAGATTGGCCAATGTATGGAGGATGACTGTGAATGAGAAGAAGTTCATTGAAACTGCATTGCTCTCTGACATCAGAGTCGACCGCCGGCAGCCTTTCGATTACCGAAAACTCACTATCAAGTTCGGTAGGTAAGATTATTCTCTTCTTCTTCTTTTTTTCTCTTTCAATTTCTAATTGAATTATTCCGCGTGTATGTATATGTTATATACAGTTATTGGCTAGCTTATTATTTGGCGTACTGTGCTTAGGTGTACTAGAACATGCTATTGTTTTGCAAACATCAATTTTGCCAAACTTACAAGATTACAGGAAGTTGGAGGCTAATTTTCGGTTTAAACCCATAATCCAAGCCTATATGTTTGGAAGTAGAAGTATAGTGCTATGCCTGTATCTCATCTTTTCATTGATTAGTATAGCCATAGAGTTATTTAAAGTAAAATGATTTTTTTAGTACCATTGAGGGCATGTCACTGCTGTATTCGTTTCTCGTGCTACATGTAATACTTTTAATTTAGAGGAATTTACTTAAATAGCACTAAAACATAATGACTTTCCCTAAATAGCACCACATGTGTTTTTATTCCCAATGTAGCACTTTTAGTCATTATGCATTAGTCATTATTCAAGCAAATATTTGGCATCACAGGACATTATGGACATTATTAAGTGCTATTTAGGAAATAAAATAGATTAAGTGATATTTAGGGAAATGACTTAAGTTTTAGTATTATTTATTGCAAATATTTCTTTAATTTAGTGTGGCTGGTGATGAGCTGGGTGATAACGGATTGTTGGTTTGTGTTGGAGATAAAGTTTAAATTTTTGACTTGAAAAATTTATGTACTCTGTATATATACAGAGGTGGTGAAAATGTGAACACTGCATGCGTCAGCTAGTCTATTTCAGTTTTTTTCCTCCTGTAACACAGTGGGATGTCCAGACAACCAACGAAGCAAAATTCTGAAGTGAAATTACCAAGTTGAATAGTTATTTGACTGGTTTATATGCATTTTTATGTCCTCTCCATTTTTAATAAATCCAATGAAATCTTATAATTTATAACTAAGAAGATAACTAGAGCTCCCTGTGACTTAATCATTGTCCCTGGAATACAAGAATGTACTATAAATCTAATCAAAAGATTGTTGCGTTTTATGTATTTCAATACATCTCTAATAGACATGAAATAGTTCTCCTTTTATTTCATGATCAGGGTTAAAGCTTTAAGATTGTTTTTTCATGTGCAGAGAAGATGGTTCATCGGAGGTGCAGCTGGGGAAAACTCATGTTATGGGGTTTGTCACTTCAAAACTAGTGCAACCTTACCGAGATAGGCCGAACGAGGGGAGCTTTGCAATCTATACAGAGTTTTCTCCAATGGCTGATCCTTCCTTTGAGGCAGGTCGCCCTGTAGAGTCTGCTATTGAATTGGGACGTATAATTGATCGTGGTCTAAGGTGCTCACTCTTTCTTGAGTTATGAAGGATGATATTTTTAAGCAATGTCCTTTTGATCCCTCTTGTTATGGTGGAATAATTATGTGACTCCTCAGCCATTCTGCTAAGTTTGGTACTTGAGGTGTCAGTAATGTTGTTGAACCCCCCCCCCCCTGCGGCCCAGCATAGTTGTGAAAGGCAGACCTGAGGTGCGAGGCGCAATAGACTGGCAATCACACTACCTGATGCAGGCGAAACCCCTGATCCGTGCGCATCATCACATAATGTGATGCTTCCCGCACCTCTGGAACTTTTTTCTTTTTTTTTTTTTGTAAATTGACTTTATAAAGTTAAGGTTACATTATTATTTATTAAGATGCCCATCCCATACATGGATCTGTAGACACCATTGTAAATTACTTCTCTTTGGCACACGACAGCAAGAATTTTCTTCTTCTCCTTTGACACACCACATGTCGCAGAGGATTCGCAGCAACACTCGCAGGCTTTCTCTTTGAGGAGCAGGCTTCCTCTTCTTCATCCAGATAGTCGGATACCCACTATGTAGTTATGTTATGCTCTTTTTTCTTCGTTCTTCGTCACAAGCTTCCTCTTATTTCTTCTTTCTTGCAGCAACAATGTGACTGGTTCTTGGTTGTTTTCCAAAATTTCTCTTATTGCTTTCAAAAATTGATGTGCAATACTTATGTGGAGATGCTGTCTTATATGTTTTTCATTTGTGCCTCGTGTTCTTGATGTGCGTGCCTCATGGCTCCAGGGCCCTTGGCGCCTCGGTGTGCCTTAAACAACTTTGCCCCAAGGGTTTTCTGTAGTGATTATATGGTCATTATCAATTTATCCCAGTTCTCTAGTACTTGTTCTATACTTTGCAGCCAGTCCAGTCATTAGGCTGCTCTTTTTGTTTGACAGTGAATATTTTTTGTTATGATGAAGAAAGGTACTCCCTTCAACCCAACTAAAGTTCTCATGTTGACTTTTAGCCTCCAATGCAACACTTTGCCTATTGATGCCTATCATTATACAAAATAAATATTTAATACATCTGATATTCTAAAGTTGCATTTCAAAATCAACCACATTAAAACTCAATAAATATTTAATACAAATTATCACCAAATTTTATATACTTTGACTACAAAAGTGAAAATGATAACTCAGTTTGTGGATGGATGAAATACAGCATTAACTGTTACAATATAGACCTTTGAGGTCATAACTATGAGGGTTAAATATTGTTAATCCCAGTGGCCAATCATTATTTTTGTAGTTTTCCAATCACTCAAAAACGACTGTCACGCACTTTGATTTAACTTTTGGAAATCTGTATTGTAAGGAGCGTTAGGCTTTGAAGTTAGCCCGTTAGGGTTTGGCTGTTTATCAGTCAAACTAATATTTATGTCTGCCACAATGCTAATAATCCAGGTGCCAAATATGGTGACACACATAGTCCAGAGGTTTGATATTTAAAACTTATTTCTTTTTGTTTGGCCATTATGGAAATGTAGGTTTATTGTTTTCAAAACTGAAACTTGAGGAACTTATATTTGGCAGTCGATATGCTTTGAGTGTATTATGAATTAACTGGATATCTTACTGTAGAAAACGGTAATCGTAGGGAAAGTAGAGCTTTGGACACTGAATCTCTCTGTGTCATAGCAGGGAAGTGGGTGTGGTCTATCCGTATTGATCTCCAGATTTTAGACAATGGAGGGTGAGTTATTATGTTTACATGTGTGATATGTCCTTGAATTAGTGATATGATGCTCTGACTCAACCATCTTCAAATCTGAAGATTCCATTCCATCTTTGTGGGACTAGGAACCTTGTTGATGCTGCCAACATTGCAGCCTTAGCTGCTCTCTCAACTTTTCGGAGGCCTAATTGCACAGTTGGAGGAGAAGACAAGCAAGAAGTTACTTTGCACCCTCCTGAGGTCGCTTGTTATAAATTATGATTCTCGCAAACAAATTGTTTGGATTTATTTTGACTGAAGTTGTTGCTTGAATTTTATCACGGATGAAGCCAAAATTCATACAACTGGCTTGCAGCATTTATTTGGATTGTGTTTTAGGTCTTCAAATTTTTTTGTTGTCTTGTTTCATTTTCAAACTTGTAAAGCATAAAACATGTTTGGTGGAACTGATTTGAACATATAATTTATTGGCATGACATTTGTGGCACTGACATCCAGTGTGATATTGGGTGTTTTTCAGCCATTTTGGCAGCTCAAAAATCCCCTAACCGCCTCTCCCTCCCCAAACCTTTCCGGTGATCACCTCTCCCATCCCACCACTACCCCCTCACCCCTTCCCGTATTCAAAGTCGGTGACCCAGTCTTCTTTTCCACATCTCCTTCTCCTCCATCCCCTTGGGGGACCCACCCTCTCCCCCACCCGGTGCCGGTGTCACAAGAACTGAGCCCAAAAATTTTACTCTTTCCATCCTAAAATGTTACATTTTTCGGCCATCCTAAAATGTTCTTCCCATTTCCTTGTAAGGAAAGAGGTGTGTTGTCTATATTGTGTGTCTCACTTTAAAACTAACCATGACCATTCAATTTCACATTTTTCACTTTATTAATAACCGTGCCAAGTCAGCTTGGGAATATCATTGTTGGATGGAGGGATTACTGTTTACATATTTATTAGATTATTAGAGAAGCTTTAAATGTTTTATTAACTGTGCAAAATTAGAAATGTTTTTGAAAATAATGATATCAAGAATTGTTTTCCAATATTTTTCAAAATTGTTCTCAGTAAGATTTTCCATAAATGGAAAAATATGCTTCCAATCATATTTTCAATTGTCTGTTTTGAAAAAGTAAAAACAAAGCCGTAAAAGAAATAACGTTGCTAAGTGACACTCAATTACCTCTTTTTCTAGAAAAACTCATCTGTATTACTACTATTATGAAGATCTATACCTTTAAATCATTCTTCCAATAGTACTGTTTTAGTAAAAGCTTGTTATGTGTTATGGGATTCAACTCTTGAATCATGTCTGCATTGCATATTGACAGGTTGCGGAGCCACTTCCATTGATCATTCATCATATGCCTATCGCAGTGACCTTTGCATTTATTGGTGGTGAGAATGTAGTGGTAAGCAAAATCAGAAAGCCTTCACATGCTTACATAATGGAGTGCCTTTTATGCAGCCTTATTGACTCAATTTAGACTTATAATTGAATGTTCTTTCATGCTTAGGTGGTAGATCCAACTCACTTTGAAGAGGCTGTAATGGGAGGAAGAATGACAGCTACTGTTAATGCAAATGGTGATGTCTGTGCCATTCAGAAGGCAGGAGGAAATGGCATAGTACAGAGTGTTATAATGCAGTGCCTTCGCATTGCTTCAGTGAAGGCTGGCGACATAACAAGCAAGATAATGATTTCCGTGAGTGCTAATCCTATGATTTGAGCTGTTTTTTCTTCTAGTATTTTATTAAGGTCATTATTGCAGAGTCGTTTTGATTCAAAATGGTCCTTTATAAATTCATTTAGGCCCCGTTTGGTACAAGGAATTCAAATTATGGAATTGGAATTGAGGACTTCAATTCCAATTCTGGTGTTTGGTAGCACAAATATTATATGGATTTGGAATTGATCGTGCGAAAAATGAATTGAAATTGGTGAATTCAATTCTATGGAATTGAATCACATGGAATCCCAATTCCAATTCAATTCCAATTCCACCAATTCCGTATACCAAACGGACCCTTAAGGATTAAAGAAAATGTGTACTTCATCTCCAAAAAGAGTCTTTGATTAAGGTACAACTTATTATTTTAAGTCAACTCAATGGAGATAGGAACTTCATCGAATTGTAAATGTTCATGTATACCCCTAATATATATATTTCCAAGATTGATTGGAGTAATTAACTAATACTGCGGCTTTACATGAATTTTACTTTTATATGAAAGTTGACTTTTAAAACCAGTTTTTTTGTTTGGGGACAAAAACAATTTTTGAAACATGACTCTTTTTTAGGACAGAGGGAGTAATAAAGATGTGTGTTTATTAGAATTGGATCACACTTAGGCCTTAATACCTAATTCCTTAAGGATGGTTTATAAATTAATACACCACATTTCATCCATTGCTAAGAAACCAAGCGCGTATTTCTCTTGCTGGGGAAAGTGAAGTCTTCTTATGATATGGCAGGCTCATTATTTGCATTAAGACTGAAGCCCTTAATATGCAGGTTGAAATGTACAATACAGAAAGAGCTCTTAGAAATATCAAAAGGCACATACCTGCTACTTCCACAATTGACATTCCTGACACTGGTCATGGGGAAATCAGTGATGTATCAATGCAGTCTATGGATATACAGAGAGTCAAATTAGAGGCTCTCTGCGTCAGTCATGATGATAATATGGATGTCAAAACACAAACTTCTAAGCCAAGTAGAATTGGAGGGGGAGTTGGAAAATGTCAGACTTTCTTGGGCAGGCCCTCAAGTTGGTAGGAGCTTTTTTCTGAGTATTATAATATCCTTAACGAATCAATAATATTATATGCATGTCTTTGTGTTTTATTTGTGTTTCATGTTGGGAATATGCGTTGTCTAAGGTTGCATGTCACAAATAAACTTCTTAGGAGGATAGTTGGAAAATGTCAGACTTTCTTGGGCAGGCCCTCAAGTTGGTAGGAGCTTTTTTCTGAGTATTATAATATCCTTAACGAATCAATAATATTATATGCATGTCTTTGTGTTTTATTTGTGTTTCATGTTGGGAATATGCGTTGTCTAAGGTTGCATGTCACAAATAAACTTCTTAGGAGGATAGTAAACCAAAATTGAGAATCAGGAGAACACTCATATGACATTTTTGAAACCCGGAAAATGTTATGGAGAGAATAAAATGCTAATGAAAATCATTTTCTTGTGTCACCTCTTTTTCCCTTGTTCCAGAAAGACATAGCCGTCGCTGGTTGTAGGTAAGGACTTGGTTATGGTTGTTAATGGTGGCGTGCCAACCATACTTTTACAAAACCCTATTTGAACTTTCTGGGTTGAGAAGACAAATTCCAAGTTTCTAGGGAGAATGAGAAGAAAAGGGAAGAAAAGCCAAATTAGATGCTTTAGAGCTATGAATGAGTAAAAAAATGGCATTTTGATCAATCAATAAATACACTAAAACAATGTAGTTAGTGGGCACAAAAAATATGTACCTGGCATAATTTTTAGAGGGGATCGCCTCCCTCGCCTAAGGCGCCTCAGGCGTCCGGGCGACCTTGTACTGCACGCGAGGCACTGTCTGCCTTTATCGCCTAAGTCGCTCGCCTCTCTCACCTCAATTGTTGCCTCAGGCGTTTAGGCGTTCGCTTTTTAGCCTTAATGTAATTTGGCTATGGGCCTTAAAAAAAATCGACTGGCATTTTTGCGAGGAAAGAGTTGGCATCTTAAACACGACTCATTTAGACCCTTGTGCAACTACACCCACCAGAATCGAGTCAATCGACACAACTCTACCTCGTCTCCTCTGGTCTCCTCGGCAATGCAGGTCTCGTCCATAGTTATCACGGCTCCAAGTCGAGGTGCAGTGTTGGAATACCGCCAGGATGCCTAGTCGACTAGGCAACACATAATATAGGACAATTTCTATACATTAAAAACACTAATACAAATATATCAAATTATATATTGTTGGTAAAGTTTAAATTTTTCTAATACATCAAAGTTTAACTACCAAAGTTACTCTTAAGTACTTTCCTCAAAAAAAAAACAAAGTTGAAAAAAGCGTTACCGACTTAAGTAGGTAATAAATTAATCATTTAAAATTTAAAACCAATTAAGCACTGAGTATTAATTAGGAAGATAAAGTAGAAAAAAACATTAACTTGGAAATAAACTAATTTATAAAGCATTAAAAAAACAAACACTGGAGCCGGGGGTATAAAACTCTTAAAAAAATAAAGTACTGGAGTAAAAAAACAAAAGTACTAGACTAGGCGAGTCAAGGCGAGGCTAAGGTGATGCCTAGGCGAGAAAAGGCAACGCTAAGGCGAGTTATGCAAAATAAGGCAAGGCGAGCTCTCATGGCAAGAGTAGAAGGACGCCTAGCGACGCCGTGATAAGTATGGTCTCCTCCCCTCTCTCTCTCTGGTCTTGTCTCCTCTCTCTCTTGTAGTCTTCTCTCCTCTCTCTCTCTCTCTTGTTTTTTTTCAAGAAACATATGTAGTAACTACTCTAATTGTTTTGTTTAACATGTATGACTTGCTTGGGATTGACATTATTAATTGCACTGCACTATATATTTTATGTATGTGTGTGCATGGTCCATAGTTGTTACGGCGGCTAGGCGAGGCTGGGTGCTGGAGCACCTTCCAATCGCCTAGGCGATTAGGCGCCCGCCTAGGCGTCTACTGGGCGAGTGGGTTATGGTGACCATAAAAATTTTATAGGTACTAATGTTAAAGCATATAATATGAAATAATTAATTAAAATGAATATTGTTAGGGGTGAACCGGGGATCTCATCATGTTGTTATTTTTGGAGATGGAATTGTGGAATAATGAAGGGAAATGGGCTGGATAAAAATATGGGAATGCGAAGGAGTTCTTTTTGGGTTTTGATATTATGAAGAAGAGTGGAAAATCAGGGATGAAGGATGGGTTTAGAAAGGATGGGATAAATTCCAAATAAGGAATAAGAGATAAACACACTCTTATCTTAATTTGGAGCCAAATTAATACTAAAGGATAAGCTCACCTCTAGATTAACTTGGGGTTAAACTCTAGTATTTAATCAAGATATTACACACTCAATCAAATAGCTAGAACCTAAAACTCACACTTAAGCTAACCACTCTTAAGATATAGAATTAGGAGTTTGGCTAAAGTAGCATCACACTATTTTAAGAATACTCAAAGAGTAAAAGGTTTTTAATATGATTCCATTGTCCCTGCACATTGCCCTAAGGCTACACTATATAGGGAGAGGGGAAGGGGAAAATAATACACAATACAATGAATGTGAACATGAGGAAGCTTCCTAGAAACATCCTCTCTCAAAGTCTTGAAATATCAGCCATCTGCTTGGGTCCTTTTATAGGAATAAAATCAGGGATGGGTGTGGTTGTAGGGTCTCTAATGAAAGGCAAACCAAGGGGAATGAATGGCATTCTTTTGGGCCGATTTTGGGGGATGTATTCAGCCAACCAGGGGACAGAGGGAAAGAGTGATGTGTGGTACTTTGGCTGCATATATGAGGATTTATTTTGTGGTTAAATGGTTAAGAAACTACTATGTGTCTCTTGGCCTTTTATGGTTGTTTAGTGGGCTGGACTAGGGAACATAGTAGGGACCATGTTGGGTGAATGTTGGGAAAATGAATGGGGCTGTTTTGGTTTCTTATTTTTGATCAGGGGTTAAAATAGTTGGAAGAGACTTTATTTTGGATATCAAAAGGAAATAAAATACCTTTGGATGTTTGGGGTTGGGTTGGACGGAATGGGGGTTGGCCAGCGGAACCCTTAGGTCAATAGCAAAAGTTATTTTGGCCTTTCGGGTTAAAAGACCTTTGAATTTTCACTAAAATGGATCATAATGTTTGAACGTAAGTCCTTTGGCTCCCATGATTGTGTGAGGCGTGGGGAATGACCTGAAAGGGTCGGACTCGGATACATCAAATATATATATATATATATATATATATATATATATATATATATATATAAGCCTACTCCAATAAAGTGAGCTTTTAAAAGGCCTATTAAATTTTGGGCCTTGTACTCTTGTGTAAAGGTCCAATAGTCTTTTAATGAACCTAGCCCAATTATTTGACCTAGTCCACTAGTCTAAATGATAGAGAGATAGAAAGACACAGAGACTTGGAGCCGCTGCAGAGCCGCTGGATCTGCGAGAAAGATAAGTCTTCATTCTATCTCTTCCTCCGTCTTCTCTCTCTATCCCGCGCGTTCCCTTGCGCTTCTAAAATGTAGATGCGTCTCCTAGATAGTCACTGAGTCGCCCAGGGAAAAAAAGCTAGGCGACGAATTAGGCGTCCACAAAGCCTCGCCCAGACGCCTAAGCGTCGCCTAGGCGACGCCTTGATAACTATGGCATGGTCCAAGTTTCCCTTTTGGCCACCCGCCTCTCACCTCGCCATTTGCCTCAAAAAAGCCTCTCTCGCCTGCCTCTCGCCTTTCAAAACTATGGTACTTGGGTTAGTGGGATCAAGCATGACCGAAGATATAACCTTAGATAAGCGTGGGGGTGGAGGGAGGGGTTGACCTAGGAAGAGTTGGAAGGAAGTGATTAAGCATGACTTAGGACTTCTAGCCTTTACTGAAGATATGACCTTAGATAAGAGCATTTGGAGATCTAGGACTAGGATAGTTGGGTAGTCCCTTGTATCACGATCTCTTTGCTGTAGTTGTTTGTGTGTCTTTTGTCTCTTTGTACTTTTCCTGACACTACTTGCTATTTGTTTTCTTGCATGGTATTTGCTTTCCTTCTGTCTGAGGTGGGTGTCTCTTGGAAACATTCTCTCTACTTTCGAGTAGGGGTAAGGTCTCCATGCATACACACACCCTCCCCAGACCCTACTTTTGTGGGATCCTTCTTGATTGTTGGTTAGTGGGCACAAGAGGAAGTGGGAGATATAGGCTCATGGATCTGCACAAGAGTATTATTAATTAGAAAGTAGTAATATTGTTATCAGTTAATATTATTAATATTAGTAAAAGTTTCCTATAGGTGTTTCTGCTTCATTTAATATTTCCAATTAGCATTCTACTTGCTTTTCATGACTATTGCAAATAGTATAAATAGGGATTCAACCTCATTAATAATCTCCCCGGGCTTCTAGTAACTTCAAACCACTTTCCTGTTCGTCAAGGACGACTCTTCCATAATCCATACCCCAACCACACAACCCAGTGAGTATTGTTTTTCTGATTAGAACCTTCTGTTGTTATTCATGAACCTTTTACTTCATGTGTTGTCTTTATTGTAGTGGGCTTGTTTTTTTACAAATAAAAATGAATTCCAAAAAAAAAACTACAAAGATAAGGAAAATGAGAAATGAAAACAATAATATGGGCCATGTTAAGGGTGCAGCGGGGAACAAGGTAAATTTTTAGGTTATCTATTACCTAAGGTCCACCTATATATTCACGCAATTTCTTAATAGCTACATAAGCATTTTCATAATATTATGATATGCATTTATTTAATCTGTTTTTTATTAATGTGCTTATGTCAGATGGTCATACATTGTTATATGGGCCTAAGGTCCATGGTGGAAGTACTCGGGTCGGCAAAGATGATGAATGAAAGTTGTAAAGATAAAGAATTTCTCGCCCTTGGTATATGATAGAATTTAGGATTGGGTAATGATAGCTGGATTGGGTAACAAGACACTTGGGTTGAACCACATTAAATGATTGAATCCAATCGATTAGTTAGTTTAACTGAGGAGCTTATATACCGATTATTTTACTCTAGGACTTTCGATGTGAGATGCATTTTAACACTCCTCCTCAAGTGAACAACCGGGCCATTTTGAATCTAACCGGTTCACCACTTGCAAATGGACTCCCATCCCCTTGATTTTTTTTAGCGCCAACCCCTAAAAGATTACGAGCCGTTGGGTATGGACTTCCAGACGAGCAATCGTGTTAAACTGGCCATAGGCCGTTGCGTACATACTCCATACGGACAACTGGGCTAAAGACTAACACGCGGTTAGGAATGAACGTCTAGACGTGCACCTTAACAAATGAGGTGGGCCAAAACTGCTCCGATACCATGATAGAATTTAGGATGGAATAAGGATAACTAGATTGGGTAATAAGACACTTGGGTTGAACCACATTAAAAGATTGTATCCAATCGATTAGTTAGTTTAACTCAAGAGCTTATATACCAATTACCGATTATTTTTACTCTAGGACTTTCGATGTGGGATGCACTCTAACAGTATAGCAGGGTTTGTGCTTGGTGGCCTTGCTGAAGACACGCATGAATTAACTCCAAAACAATTGATATATCTATTGATGAATATAACACCTCTATTTATGCTAGTCCCAGCAGTCTTGTTATGCAAGTTAAAAGAGCTAATCTAACACAATTTTGCTATTAGGAATATGAATTAAAATAGAACTAATACAAATAGGAAACTATTACTACCACACTAGTACAAGAAATGACTAGTCACTAATAACAATAGGAAACAATAAATAATGATAAATTAATAATAATAATATCCGCCGAACTTTGTGCTTCTCCGTTTCTCAATCATGTTATCCCGTTGATGATGAGATGATTCACATTGTGTGTTTGCCAAGAGGTCATAATTTTGAAGAGTGACAAGGATTGTGCTCCAAGTATTAGTCATTAGTGTATTTTGATGCCGTTATGCACTGGCGACCAAACTAGAACTTCACGGGAAATATATTTTATGAGGGGCACCATGAATACTAGTAATCAATGCTTCAAACTTTCCCCCTGACGACAGATTGGCTGCCAAAGTCTCCTTCTGTGTGCACGATTTTTGTCGGACAAACAGCTACCAGCCTACCACCAGCAAATCCACTGGTTCCTCCATCACTGGCAAAAAGCAAATAAGCCGCGCCACACCAAATATGTCATCCCACCCTGTTCCAGATTTGCTTACAAGTTATGGCTCCTATGACGCGGCTGCCGCGCCTTTGGGAGATACTGATAAAGCTGAGTTTGCAAAACTGAAGAACGGTCCAGATAGAGCAATGTATTTATGATTTGGGTCAGCCAATATTTGGAGATTGTTTAAGGATGATATGCAGTGGAATCACATCTCAGGAATGATATATTTCAACACATTTTGGGCCACATACAAGTCTAGTTGGGAGTTGGGACACCAAATGCTGCTGCTTATGGATCCAAGCCTCCACATATTTCATATGGTGCACAAACTTAATTGATGACAGTTTAATGATATTGTTACATTGTAGGAAGTGTTTGCAGAACACTTATCACCATTCACCACCCTTGCAAGCTTGAAGTCTTGAACCCAATCTTGCAATCCAAAAGGGCGTTACGATATCGGTTCGTGGATCCGCAAAAGAGTACTATTAAATAGTAGCTTTATAGATTACTTTTCTATTATTAGCATTAGTATTAGTTTTCCATTAGTATTGTCATTCTACTTTATAAATATTTCTAATAGAAATATTATATGGAGTCCTTGTATTAGGTTAGAACTCAACTTGCTCACAAAGACTAGTATGACTGATAAAATAGGGGTTTAACTTCATATCATATGAAATTCCATGCGTAATTACATAGACTTCGACAAGGACAAGACTCTTTCATTGTAGGCTCTATAGTGGGGACTATATTTTGGACATTTTCTCAAAATAGAACAAGGTAAATTTTTTTCAGCACATTAATGTACACTAGTTTCGGTGACATTTTATTTAGTGTCAACTGATCATGACATTTTATTTTCAGCACCAAAACATTTTTTTAGTTTCGGTGACATTTTTTCAGCACCTTAATGCACACTTCTTTTTGTTATCCTTCTTTTTGGCAGCTTGAGCCGGGGGTCTCCTCGAAATAGCCTCTCTACTTTTGGGTAGGGGCAAGGTCTGTTTACACAGACCGCACTTCCGTAATTTGATTTATTGAAGTGCACACCTAGTTACCCACCCACTCATATTCCTAGTTTTCTCTTCCATTTTTGGACTCTAAATGAAGCAATATTGGCATAGAAAATATTTTGCTTTTGTAATGTGCCTTTTATTTTTTTGTTACAAAAGAATAGACAAGGCTTATTAATTATTAACATTTGCTCTTGTAAATTCTTACATTTTGCATTTCCTCATGCAAGGGATCCATATTCAACGAGTGTCAACTTAGAAGATTTGAAATCTACTATTGGTTTACACTGTGAGTTATTATTATTATATGCTCCAAATTTGGTCATAATGATGTGCTTTTCATTGTTTCTTTTGTTTGTAAGACTAGATATGTTATAGTATAGGAATTGTCTTACATAAGATTTGTCTTGGTATGCAACACCTCTTTCGGTTCCTTGTTTGAACTCTATGAATTGTTCCTAGCGGTAATCTACTACACATATGATTTTTTTCCCGTGCACACTCATGATTTATTATTATTATTATTATTATTTTAATTATTATTATTACCATCATCATAATAATAATACTTATTATTATAGTTCTTATTATTATTATTACTAGTAATATGATGACACCGTTTTGAGTGTTATATAACTTATATTACACTCGGTTTGAGTGTCATATTATGACACCGGTCAAAATGAGGGTCCTACCGTTGATGGTTCCTCCCCCCCAACCCCCTCTTCCGTCAATTGCGCCCCACTATTTTGTTTGACTTTCTGTCAATAAAATCGACCCCAAAGTCAACTAAAATTGGGGGCTCAATTGACAGCGGGGGTTGGGCTGGGGTGGAGGGTTAGGAACCATCTATTTTTCCAAACGGAACACCGTAGGGGCCTATTATTAGCAGGATTTGGAGAAAGGATCGGAAATGTTATTTTTGTATATTTCTGCCCAGGCACAGGTCCCACCACAAAAATATTTTTTATATTTGGGCGCCTCAATTTGACCGGTGTCGTAAAGTGATTGCCATTTTGGGTGTCAATATAACCTTGCAGATAATAAATTTTTATTATTTATAAATATAACTATATAAGTATTAGTTTTGATTGTTATTATTAGAAGTCTTGGTGCTTTTATTACTAGAAGTAATAGCATCTTATTAGTATTATTATTCTATTTTATGCAGTAGTTAATATTCTTAATAGCAATACTGTAATCAGTTAGGGTCCTATTTTAGTACTCACCGGGATTATGGGGAGTGTTATTAGTATTTAGTAGGGGTTTACCTTTATTCATATAATACATATAATTGCAAGTATAATTAAATGGACTTGGGACACTGTCATGTCTCTTCCAATGTTATCAGGAACTTGTGTATCTTATCCCTACCGTGCCCATAACATAAACAAGTAGAGTCTCAGCTAATTGGTGTTTTGGTACCATGCTGTGTTTAGATTTCTCTGTGATAGAATTTAGGATGGGGTATGGATAACTAGATTGGGTAATAAGACACTTGGTCTGAACCACATTAAAAGATTGAATCCAATCGATTAGTTACTCAAGAGCTTATACACCGGTTATTTTACTCTTGAACTTCCGATGTGGGATGCACTCTAACACTCCCCCTCAAGTGGACAACCGGGCCATTTTGAATCTAACCGGTTGACCACTTGCAAATGAACTCCCATTCTCTTGACTTTTTTTTTTGAGCGCCAACACCTAAAGGACCACGAGCCGCTGGGTATGGACTTCCAGACGAGCAATCGTGTTAAACAGGCCACAGGCCGTTGGGTACAACATCCATACGGACAACTGGGCTAAAGACTAATGGGCCGCTAGGAATGAACGTCTAGACGGACACCTTGACAAACGAGGTGGGCTAAAACCTGCTCTGATACCATGATAGAATTTAGGATGAGGTATGGATAACTAGATTGGGTAATAAGACACTTGGTCTGAACCACATTAAAAGATTGAATCCAATCGATTAGTTAGTCCAACTCAAGAGTTTATACACCGGTTATTTTACTCTTGAACTTCCGATGTGGGATGCACTCTAACACTCTGCAAGTCATACATAAAGCATGATAATTCAAAAGCAGAGGGAGATATTGAGTGGTTAAATTGCATTTACAATGTGTAGCAGGGTCATCAGTTCTCCTTGAGAATAAGAAGATGCTGCATGAAACTGAAACAGTGCAGCATGAGAGGCCTACTGCGACAGAATCTGGGAAGCGTCCCGGACCTTCAATAGCTGTGATATCTGGAGATGACATACTGACTCACTCAGTGAAAACATTGAAGGATGCTATAAAGCCTAAGAAGAATTTTTTAATCAAGTAGGGGGACCTAAACTTAGTATCTTTCCAAGGATTGTTTAATCTTTAATATTTTGCAGAAGCTAGCAAATAATGGTTTTTTTTTTGTTTATACTGTCCACAAATTACATTTTACTCCCTATCTTTTCATGATTTGTTATAACAATTTCATTGAGTCTGCTATCTGAATCCACAATATTTTAATAGGCGTTCAATATGCAGTGTTTTGACAGATGAGCAAAATGTTATGGCAATGCAGATAATTTTTTGCATAATATTCCACACTTGCAAAAGAAGCACCCATGCTTTTGCCTTTGCGCTGCTACTTATTTATTAGTCTATCAATCTCAATCTTTTTGTGTACAATGTTCTTTAAAACAATCTATTTTTTCTTACTGCAACTCTACAGGAACTCATTGAAATGATGAACATGTGATTCCTTCAGCTCTCCTTCAGCTGTTGTAGTTTCACTAATGTGTTTGGCACGGCCAACCTTAGAGTGGGAGATGTTTTCTTCACTTGATCTAATTAGTTCTGATCTGATTGTAATAAGTTTTGATCTGATCTGAATGTTATTATAGTTAAAATTGTTTTTGATCTAATACGGCCTAATATGATCTAATTCAAACAAGAATAAGTAATAACGAATAGAAATAAGTTGAGGAAAACATGACCTAAGAGCTATGAATATTGTTCTGGGATAACGAAGGAGAGTTTGCCATCTTTGTCTAATGTTCTCTAAAAAAATCTTAAGAGAGCAGTTGTGTTACATTTCAACATTGTTCCAAACTTCTAGCAGAATACATGGATATATTAATGCTTGTACCGTTAACCTCCATTTTATAATTCCATAGTTGGTATTATTCCCTTGCAAGGTAATTCAACATTTACATTGGCCACATAAAAAAATACTCCCTCCGTCCCCCTAAGATGTTCTCATTTTGACTTTTGGTGGTTTTTAAGGAGAGTTGAAAAAAGGTGAAAGTTTACCATAATACCCTTAATGAAAAATGGGTGGAGTGTATTAAATGAGGTGGGTGAGGTGTAATAAATAAAGTAAGTGGGGGTAGTTGTGATATTTTAATTATTAAAAAATGAAATGAGAAGATTTATTGTGGACAAAAAAAGACTATTGGGAAGATCTATGGGGGACGGAGGGAGTACTACGGAGTAGCTTTTTATATTTCTTTATTTTCCCAAAGTTAAATGACATCACCAGATGCTTATTAATACTTAAAACCTTTCCACATTTCCTAAGCCCAAAAGTTACCATGTTTAACTAACATGATTTTCAATTCAATTTATTTGAAAATTGATGTGAATAAAAAATAAGAAGTATATATATTTTAAAATTACATTAAAAGTTTTACAAATCAAGATGTAACATTACTATATTTTTTTATCAAATGAGTAAAAACAATAAAGAAATTGATTAAAATTTGAATATGTGAATAGTGATAATGCAATTTAAATCGAAATGAATGGAGTAAATATGTTCAAATTTTAGTTTCTAATTTTAGAGCCCTTCAATTCTGACTCTGATCACCAAATTCTAAAACTTAGTTAAAGGAAAAATTTATTCCAATGCCTCTAGATTTAACTGATTATAAAATATTGCTCTCAGATTTTCTTTTGCATGTCATTACTTCAAGAAATAACTGGAAATTAGATTGCTACTCCAACTCGATTTAGCTTCATACTTAATTAAGTGAAAGTATTTTGGCTGACATAATATGTGAAACTATGAGTTGAAAGTACATCTAAGGTAATAGAATATACATTTGGACTTTTGTAAATAACTTAATAAAATTTAATAACTTTATCTAAAGATCGATGATTTCACTAGTTAAATTAGAGTCTAATATCAAAATTGAAGACTCGGATTTCCACAATGTAGTATTTAGAATCCAAACTTTAATTACTTATTATACATGAGAGTCCAGACACTATTTAAATTAAGGTAGAAAGTAAATAGAAAAAAATATCTAAATAGGACGTAAATATGACACTTTCCCTGATTAAAAAGGACTACTCTTATTAGAACTGCGAATGGTGAGATGAATAGATAAAATAAGACAAAATTAGCCTCCATCATTCCACGGGGATCCCAGGGTGACGGATTGCCGCAGACTTGTAGGAAGCCTAGTGAGAGTGAATTCTAGGAATGAATGTGTAAGTGTTGTGTTTGAGTAGATTGGTTGATCTCTCCCCTCCACAATACCGGAGGGGTAGCATTTATAGACAAGGAAACTCCAAGCACTTAAATGAAGAGATTGCATCAAAGAAAAGTAGTTCTATACATTTTTGTGTCATTGTTTCCAATTTTTTTACCCCTACTAAAATGTGCATGAACTTATGTGAATTATTTGTTATATTTTTTGGGGGAATATATATAGGTTGGTATGCATATAGTGAAGGGGAAGTTATTTTTTTTGCTATATGTGTTGATTCTTTCTGTATGCATTATTTTAGGAGAAAGATATCATACATTAAGGGGGAAGTTTTTTATTTCCTAGAGATGCATGATTTTATGGGGAATGTGATTTTTTACTATTTAATTTTTCTCTCCCTGGATGCATGAGTTCATTTGTTGCATTATTTTTGATAATGCCAAGAGGGGGAAGAGAGTGTAGGAGTATATGCTTGAAACTGTTCTTAATTGATAGCATATCCTCCGTGTATTTGTCATTCTCAAAAAGATGGAAATTGTTAGAATGCATGAGTTAGTTCAACCCTTTTTGTGCTGTTAAATGTTGACTCACAGGTTTTGATAATTGACAAATACAAGTTATTCAAGTCAAGCATAATGTGCTACATAGACAAACAGCAAGACTTGAAGTGCCAAATCCCTTGAAGCTTTCAAGAAGGAGCACATGATTTAATGAAGACCAAGACGCCAAACGGAGCGCCTAACAAAAGGGAAGAAGAAAATTTCCAAACACTTTTAATTTATTTGAGTCTAAAGAAATATTGTAAGGATGAAAAAAAATTCTTCGCAACAAATTTTTTTATGAGAGTTTATAAATAAATTATACGGAGTAGTTATTTTTAAGTCAGTTGAAAAATCCTTATACTCCCTTGACCCTAAATGTTTACCACATATCCAAAAACGAGGCAAAATATTAAATTTTTTCAGTTCATTTTGTTTAAATATTGGTATAGAAATAACAAATAAAATTTACATATATAAAAACTACATGAAAAATATTTTGGAATAAGATGTGTCAAAAATATTTTATTTTATCAAATAACCAATGAAAACACAAAAATAAATAGAAGTTTTTGTTGTTATTGAAAATGCACATCTAGCTAGGGGTGTTCATTTGGATATATCCGATCCGGTTCAGTTTTTCAGATATCTGAAATTTTTTCATCGTTAAATATCTATTCCATGTTCGATCCGAAAATTACCGGATACCGGAATTTTGGATATCCGAAATTTCATATCGGGTCAATGGAATATCCAAAATTTTTTTTTTTCTCCAATAATTCTAAAAAAGTATTTAGAATGATTTTTTATTTGTTAAAATAGTAGAGGTCATAAATTAGACTTGAATTTGAAGTTAACTCTATTTTAAATGTCATAGTTACCTTGATAGTGTTATCATAAGTCATAATCTTATACATGTATGAAAAAAGAATATCAACATAATTGACAAATAAAACATAGACAAAAAGATTAAAGTAAAAAACTTCAATTATTCTTAGATTCAAATATTTATGATGATGAAAATGAATTGGGCTTAAGTTATCTAAGCTTTATTTTTATATTTATTTTTTTTAAATATGAACTTCGGATATCTACGGATATCCAAAATCTTAATATTTCATTCCATATCCAATCCGATTTTTCCGGATATCCAATCCAAAATATCCGAAAGCTAAAATATCGGATCAAATATCCTTTTTTGGATCGAATCAGTCTGGATCATGAATGGATATTTTGGATCAGAGATTCTTAAACACCCCTACATCTAGCAAACATTTTGGGACCTAGAGAGTATTTAGGTCCTATTTCAGCGTTAGCTATTAGCGTTAGCGTTTTGAAAAGGCTATCCGACGGTAGCTTTTAGAGTTAGCGTTTTCGGAATTAATCTACACCTTTAAAATTTTATCCAAAACGTTAACGCTAATCGAAAACACTGTTCCCAAACAAAGCCTTAAGAAACATGAAAATGGATTATTTGATTAGAGGACGTTCGGAATTGCGTTTAAAAACTACTTCTGAGCTTTTACTTTAATAAAATAATGTTTGTCGTGTTTGCCAATCTATTTCTGCTTATAGATTATAACTTTTGCAGTCTAAAATAGGCACCAGAATTGCTTTTAAGCAAAGTTAAAAATATCTGCATTCAGCTTCGACTTAAAACTTCTGCTTTTTCAACAATGTACCATACTCCCAAACACCCTCTATGTATCCTCGGAGTATGTTACTAGAAAGTTTATGTTCCCTTTGAGTTATTTTGGATTATACGGTACCCCGTCATTCTCACCACAAAATTGGGATACCCGAAGCAATTTTTTATTTTCAAAATGCTAAACTTTTGCCAAGCGGGCACTCTATGTTGTAATTGATCTGGTGGATGCAGAAGAAGATATGTGGTTCTAATCAAAGTAATAAACTATAAATTCATTACAGTAGGACTCAGTAGGAGTATGATCAAATAAGATTAGATCGAAGAGATGAGTTATATATTCATCAAATAAGATTAGAAGAGGTTCGAACTCGAACCCCAGTGAGGGGAAGTTGCTCTTTATTATTCAGTAGGTTGAGAAAGTATATTGGAACAAATACTTCATTGTTATAGAGTTAATAGTGCTAAAAAAAATAAAGCAGGCAATTAATACTTCGTATGCTTCTAACAGAGTACATGGGTAGCAAACTCGATCGATCACCTTTCACTAAGCCAAGCTCTTAGTCTTCATGCCCCTTCCCTTCTCCCCATGTCTAATCTCGACCTTCACCAAATTGGAGCAAACAAAATCTACCCAAGAAGAATCATCATTCCTGAGGGGACTCCTGTCCCCAAGGATGCCCAAGAAATCCCTTGCAACACAACTGGAAAAGAAAATCAGAACAGAATCTAACAAAACACAGTCTTTATTGAAATTACAGTATAAAATATTGCATAAATTATCAGCGTTAAATTCGAGTATGATAAAATTATTTTTAAAATTAAAAAAAAAAAAACTTTTCATTTCATTGTCAAATTTATGCAGTAAACTACATAAAAGATTTACCTCTCAAGTCAATCATATTATCACCAATAATCATTACAAGAACACAAGCCATCTCTAAAGTGATGAAACCGCTTTGCATCGCGTATAACAAGTTCCCTACCGACCAGTTTAGAGATAATCTTCATTGCACTATGGCAATCACCACAAATGCGGAGGTTCTTTATAATCCTTATGGATGTCCGAGCTGCACTGCTGATGAGACCTCTAGCAACAGCAAGCTTCTCACTATGTGCCATTATAGCTTCCTCCTTGCCTTCTGGGTCAATGTCATGAAGCACAAACTTGACCTCTGCTATATAACCAGCCTCTTTCATTTGTTGCTTCAGCCCACGCAAAAGAGCATACAACTTTTCATGATCCGGGCAAGATCTATCACCAGCTCTATACTCATGTACCCTACTTCGAGCTTCTAGAAGACTTTGACTTGCTGATTTCTGTACTCTTTTTGCTTTTGCAATGTCTGAAGCTGTAATTGGTATTAGGCCTGCCTTTGATTGCTTATCCAAGCAAGAGGAATCAAGGATCTCTACAATCTCAGTACAACGATCACCAAGCTCACTATACCCGTGAATTCTACAGAATATCATCAAAGTTTTCCAAACCTCAACGTCTGCTTCAGTTGGCATCCTTTCGATGAATTCTAAAGCTTCATCCAAATAACCTGCACTTCCCATCATCTTCACAGCACTCACATAATGGTCCATGGAAGGAACGATACCGTAATCCTTGCTCATCGCATCAAAGTGCAGCATTCCCTCAATGATGTCGCCAGTTTCACCGCAAGCAGAGAGGACCCCCAAAAAGATTTTACCATCAGGTTTCAAACCTGATTCTTTAAATTGGGTAAACATTTCAATAGCATCTTCTCCTTGTCCATTTCTACCATACCAAGTGATCATTAGGTCCCAGGATGTGATATTACGTCTCGGCATTTGACTAAATACTGCAATTGCATCATCCATGGAACCACATTTACCATACAGCTCGATAACTTTATTGTAAGTTTTGACTCCAAAATTAATTCCTGATCTGGCTAGGTGCATATGAACTGATTTTGCCTCTTCTAAAGCTTTATTCTCAGCACACAACATCATCAAAGAGAGGTATCGAGATAAATCAACTGAAACACTATGCTGCTCTAGCAAACCCAGAACCTTAATGGCTTCCTCAATCTTTCCCTCTTTGCAGAAATGATCAAGTTCCTCAATTGTACCCTTAATGCTTCCATCATCTTCATCTCTATGAATTTGGGGGTCCCCTGTAGCATTTTGCAAGTAATTTGGATTCCACCCAGTGTTTCCAACATTGAGATAGTTAGTCCCACTTGCATCTTGCTGGTATCTTTCACTATTTCCAGCAAAACAGTTACCTGGCCTGTGTAACCCATTCAAAGCAGCACTAGTATGATGCATTGGAACATTTGGCTGACAGTCCAAGCCATCAAAATGGGTACCTGCTCTGTGTGACCTGTTCAAGGCATCATTAGTTTGATGTGTAGGAACATTTGGTTGACCTGCAAAGTGATAATTGCCAACACTGTGATATGGTCTATCATTTCCATCAGAATAACAGCCCAAGTTATGCTCAAACCCTTCATTCACAGTTCCATTGTGGCCAACAACAATCCCTGATGATCTGTTAGAGACACCACTAGTCGGATTTATATTAAAAGTTGGATGACTCGCGATGTGATAGTTGCCTACACCTTGATGTGGCCTAAGGTTCACATTTGCATTGTGCCCGTGAACAGTGAAACGCTGCTCCTGCTGTTGAGTGCATGCTAATTCCATCTGCCCAACTGGGCTCTGCTTAAACTCATCTCTGTTTTCATTTTCCACACAGCCAGAGGAAAAGGTCCCAGTTTGCCCAGTAGCATTCACATTTGCATTATGGAATCTATCTGGAGTTTTCTGAAAATTCCAATTACTGGGAGTTTGCCCATCATTTTCCCGACCAAAACCATCGGAATCAATAAAAAAATCTGATTTTTCAGTCGCAGTGCCGAGATTACTCAAGAAAGTACGAGAAGGCTTGGCAGAATCCCAAGAAATTGATGATGCCCTACATACCTTGGTCACTATTCTAAGATTAATGATGCTCAGACGCGTCACCTGGTTTCTATACATCTGTCAAACGAATCCGAACGCATATAATGTGTTAGCCAACCTTTGATACATACTAGCGCCGAGAATTGAAAACAGAAATAGTTTACCTGATGGCTGACGGCGACGGAGGAACGAAGGCGAAGGAGGACTTAGGCGAGGGTTTTGTTAAATGTTTACCCTTCTGGCCTTCTATAGCGCCTCCTTATTTTTATTTTTGAGTAAGAGTAGGAGCACCATTTCATTTTGGATAAAGCTACTTGTACCCTAGACTTTTTATACCCCATTTGTACACCGCATGTGTACACTAGCATTTTGTGTTTGTTTAATGCTAATTTTTGTTGATGCACCAACACTTTGTGTTAGTGTAAATTTTTGTTAACGCACCAACACTTTCTGTCAGTGTGAACCACCAAAATGTTGATGTATACTTTTGGGGTAAGTTTGGGATACAAATTTTGGTGTAAATGTAGCATGGTCCTTTCATTTTAGTTACTAGTATGTTTACGGAGTAGGGAGTATTTTTTTGAAGAGCAATGCTAGGGATACACCATTTGGTGTACCCCATTTGTCCCCCACCCCTTTCTCCACCATTCAATTTTATTTTATTTTTATTTATTTAATTTTGTTTTAGTTTCTTGCCTTTTTGTGTGGTGATGGAGGGGGTGGGGTACAAATGGGGTACACCTTTGGTGTACCCCTAGCATTTTTCTTTTTTGAAATAAACTATTTGTACCCAAATATTGTACACCGCATGTGTACACCGCATGTGTGCACTAACATTTTGTGTTGGTGTAATGCTAATTTTTGTTGACGTACCAACACTTTGTGTCAGTGTAAATTTTTGTTAACGCACCAACACTTTCTGTCAGTGTGAACCATCAAAATGTTGATATATACTTTTGGGGTAAGTTTGGGATACAAATTTTGGTGTAAATGTAGCATGGTCCTTTCATTTTAGTTACTACTCCCTCCGTCCCAGAGTATTTGTCCACTTTAATTTTTGCACACCATCCAATGCACTTCTTTGATCCATTTTATCTTGTAATTTATATATTAAAAATTATAAAAATTATATATTAATAATCTATATGTTAAAACAAATCAAACAAGATCACACATGACTATATTTAGGCTTACACATTGAGAGAATTTGATGAGTCAAAGTGCTTAGATGAACAGTTCCAAAAGTCAAAAGTAGACAAAAACTGAGGGACGGAGGGAGTAGTATGTTTACGGAGTACGGAGTATTTTTTTGAAATAAACTATTTGTACCCAAATATTGTACTCCGTATTTTACTTTATATTCTGAAGGCATGTACCAATATTTTGTATAATCCTACTGTGGTAGTTTACAATGACATAAAGTGTCAATGCAAATTTTTTATTCAACTGACACTTTGTGTCAGTGCAAACCATTAAAATGTCAGTGTATCACTTTAGGATATATAATTTGGAGTACACTTTTTGGTGTACCTCTAACATGGTTGTATTTTTTATCAACTCTACAATTTCCATTCGCCCCATAAAAATGAATAATGAATGTTGAGATGGAGTGCAACAATAAAACCAAGATAAGCTCAAGATGTTAACATGACCTTACATCACACAAACCTTTACTATGCATGTCGCATAGAAAAAAATTTGTGTAATTTTGTATGACAATTGAGATCATGCTTAAGGTTACTTTTTTGAGATTACCTTAGCACACCTGTGCAAAGAGGTGTTGGAACACGGGTTTACGCCTTCGTCGTACTAAACTGTGTTCGTTTATGACAGGTTTTGATAATGCCAAACCGCTGCGACATATCGAAGCTAAAGTGAGCAAAACTAAGGCGAAGGAACATGGCATGATGACTTGAGAACCAAGAACCCAGAATCAAGAACGAAGAACTAGAATTGTATTGAGTCGGTCTTAATGTGATCAAGACCGGCACAAAATTCCAAATCTTGGCTCTCTAGGCTTAATTCATAAAAAAACTCCTTTACATATTCAAAAATACCTTTCTTAAAGTTTAAACTTGGGTCAAAACACTTGGAGTTCGCCCAAGCCAAAAACCAAGCCATCCGGCGTTTGGCTTTCAGAAACCGGCGTTCGGCTTTCGGTTTTCGGCCATCGGTTTTTGGCGTCCAAACCAACCAAGTGGTTTTTAACTTTTTATAACTGGTTTTTACTTCTGGGCATATTTAAATAGTTCTTCAACAAAAACGCCTCAAAAACCACCTTCCGTTTTTGGTCGTTTAGTGAAAACCATGCAAAACGGCACGAACTTGGCTAGCCATGGTTTTCAACTAAATGACGTGGTTTTTAAGATTTTTTACTTGATTTCTTAGCAAAATGCAATAAACAAATGTTTTCTAAACTTGGTTTTTATTTTGGAGAACTTGCGTTTTTGACATCGGCTAACGACGTGACTAAACCAACCATGGTCTGGCTAAACCAAGCCCAACAGCGATGTTGGGGTAATCAACAGCGCTGTCTGGCCTGGGTAACCAAAAACATGGTTTGGCGTTAAGTCTTCCAACAGCGATGTTGGACATCAGACATCGCTGTTGAG